CATCTCTAAGAAAGGTTGCTCTCTAAAATTTAATATATAATATAAATATTAATCAAATAGTTTAAAATAATGAATATGAAATCTCAAAAAACAAATAACGACCACAATTGTTATGGTTACCTAAGATATGTTAGTTTTTCCACAAACTCCAAGATATTGGAACAGAGGATAAAGGGTCAGATTATTTCTATTCGATTAAAGTATTGAAATTTAGTTAATTCCTGCGAAAATAACTTTCCAAAGATAACTTTTTGATACTTCATAGCCACTTTTATATGAGGAACAACACATTTTCATCCCCATTCAAGTCTCAAGATATTCAGAACTGAAATAACTTGATGATCAGTCAGTTATTTCAGTTTTACCTAGCTTCCTGTTGTATTGTAGAGACATTCTCTATAGTCAGAGATCTCTCAACTATTGCTTTGTTGTTTTCTTTTGGAAAAAGTATCAAAGGTTTTCCACCATTAGGAGACATAATGGAGATAACTGAATTGCCTGATTCTTTTTTTGTTTTTATAGTTTTATAACTGATCTGTTCAGCCGGTTAAGGATCAATTAGATTGTTAATGTTAACTAACTTTTCTAATCTTAGCTTACACTTATCTTTCGAGTGGTTTGATCCCCTGTAGATACTGGCAAAGCAGTGTGAGCAGAATTGTGGGAAACAATCTTGAATTATTAGATTTATTCTACTGTTTGTAGACAAATAATTTCCACTAAAGACCATTCAAGCTAGCAATTTTACAAATTCTGCACTTACATCTTTCAGATAAATGTTAAATACATTTAACATTTCTAAAAAAATAAACTTTTCCCAACAAATTTTTTTCATTTTTGTAATTTTTATAATTATTACATATATGTAAAAGAATAACATAAAAAGTTTTTTTGGGTGTTTTCATAGAGGTTCAGTTTTATCCAGGCACACGGTGATATATATATATATATATATATATACATATATATATATATATATATATATATATATATATATATATATATATATACATATATATATATATATATATATATATATATATATATATATATATATATATATATATATATATACATATATATATATATATATATATATATATATATACATATATATATATATATATATATATATATATATATATATATATATATATATATATATATATATATATATATATATATATATATATATATATATATATATATATATATATATATATTGCCCTTGGTCAGTAGCCCTGACAATATTTTCCGGCAGTGCATTCCAATAATTTGCAGCTCGATTAAGCAAAACATTTTCTCTATACTTATGTACTGAAAATTCTTTAGAATATTTCAGGCTATGGCCACGAGTACAATTTGATTTAAATGAATAAATTTCTTGAAATTCAACTTTATCATAACCTTTGAAAATTCTATATAGTTGTATAATGTCTCCTCGTTGTCTTCTTTTAATAAGTGAGGGTATTTTAAGATAAGCAAGTCGATCTTCATAGCATAATTTACTGATTTGAGGTATTTGTTTAGTGGCACAACGCTGTACTTTTTCTAAAATGATTACATCTTGTTTTTGATAAGGAGCCCATACTTGTATAGCAAACTCAAGTAGCGGTCGAACAAATGAAAGATATAAGGATTTAAGCAGTTCAGCATCAAATCGAACAAAAGATTTTTTATTATGCCCAACATACAACTAGCTTTGCTTGCACTCGATAATACTTGATTTTTCCACTTCAAGTTATCTGAAAAAATCACTCCTAGGTCCCTTTCTGAATCTAATGTATTGAGTTTACAACCATTTATATAAATTGGATATCTCTTATTTTTATAGCCATAGTGCATAACTAGACACTTTTCAATATTAAAACTAAGCAGCCAGTCTTGTGTCCAAGCATATGCAGAGTTTAAATCGCACTGTAGTTTATTATGTCACTCATCAGAATAACTAATTGACATGATTTTTGTGTCAGCATAAAATTTTGAAATATTTTTCAGAGACTCTGGAAGATCATTTATATAGAGAATAAAAAGTAGTGGACCCAATACTGAGCCTTGGGGAACTCCGCTGTGCACCTCAGCCCAAGTTGAAACATAATCTCCTATAACGACTCTCTGCCTTCTATTAATTTAATTAATTTAAAAAATTAAAATACAAAATATTAAAATTAAAACAAGTGCTTGTTTGTATCAAAAAAAAAAGTGGCCAAAATAAACAAACCACAAAAACAAAATTAACAAAAAATACTTACAAAACATAAAAAAAAAGAATTAATATTTTGTTGACAATCCTTTTGCTTTTAAGCATTCATTGATATATTTTGGCATGGGGCTCACTAAATTCTGAGCAATCTCTTTTGGAACACTATTCGGCAGTTTTGTTACTAATTCTTTCAGCTGGTCCAGATCTTTTATTTCAATTTTACCAAGATTGTGGTTTAACCCAGACCACAAATTCTCTATGTAACTGAGATCTGGACTGTTGACAGGCCAAGACATGGTTTTAATGTTGTTATCTTCAAACAAATGCTTGCAAATTTTAGCAGTATGGGGCTTTATCTTGTTGGAAGATTCCCATGTCTTTTGGGAAAATATGTTTTGTTCAATACGTAGAACAATTTAGGTCCATTTTTTCATTTGGCTTTCTTCTCAGCATTACTTGGTTTTTTCTTAAATCAACCTCAACATTTATTTGAACTCTAAAAAAAACATTGTGCCACATGCTCATAGACTAAATTTTATGAGCTAAATGCCAGTTTTTTCTTCTTTTCTGATGTTTTATTAATAGGCGTGGTCTTTCACAAGCAGCGTGTAATTGTCACGTGTAATTGTGTTTTTGTAGTACTACTCTAATTATTTGAGTACTAGCAACAACACCAGCAGCTTTTTATTTTTTTCAACTGAGATCAGTAGATGATATATTTCTTATTTTAGCAATATGCAAATAAGTGAACATCCATTATTATTTTTTTTTAAATGCTGAGTTGTCCAGGACATGGAAGATTTTGAATTGTATTGCATCTTTAATATCAGCTGATTATTCTGATAAAAGTGCCATGTGTTGTGTTAAAATGTTTTGGATTTTCTCTCATTAAGGTGTTTTACTCATTCATTACTATGATTTTACATTTTGTTATATTATTATTATTACTATTATTATAATTAGCCTGTTTAATCTAGTCTTAAAATCATTAAATCTATTTAAAATTATTGTAAAAAATAGTAAATAGTACTTTTACAAAATAGTATTTTTACAAACATCTTTTTTTTTTTAAAAGCTTCACAACTTGATTCTTGAATTCTTTCCTGTCAAGTGATTTAAATTCATTTAGCAATTTGTTGTACAACTTTATCCCATTGCAAAATATAGATTTTTGTCCGCTTTTTTTGTTTTGGATTTTTAAGGGATAACTATTTGCATTTCTTGTAAAATAATCATGTACTTTTTTTTCATTGTTTTTATACAAAATCCTTGAAAGACATTTATTTTCTGTAGTTGAATAGTATTGTGTAAAAATGTAAACACTTTCATGAATGAAGTGCCAAAATTGTATCAAAAATTATTTTGGTCCATCTAGCCAGATACCTACCAATTAGATATATCAAAGATGCTTATTGAATTTTACCAATTTTTTATTAATTCAAAACAACATTTCACGCATTTGCAAAGTATGCGCAAATTAATGATAGCTAATATGCAATAACATTATAATAATTTGTCTTAATTTAATTTGTTAGGTTTATTTACTTGAACTTAAAAAATGTATTAACTTGGAGAAATTTAAATAAAAGGAAACTAAAAATAAAATAAAAGTTCTTTTGACATTCCTTTTTTAAAACATTTAAAAATAATAATATAATATTATAAATATTTAATAAGTTATTATTAAGTATGATATTATTATATTTATAATAATATTAAGCATTTAATAATAAAATATCATTTTGGTGTTGTTAAATGCACAGTAAGAAAGAAAAACTATAATAAACATAACAGTTCTATACAGGGCGGGCAAAAGCTGTCACATCGTCTGGGATAGCAACCTTAATTGGCGCCCTTATTTATCGAAATTTCCTTATATTATACATGAAGGACTTTTTTTTTTTTTTTTAAGGAACCTTTATTTTATTTAGCAGCCAATGGATATCTGCTGCCCAGGACAAACTGTCCTTTGCCACCCCCCCTCCCTCTCGGGGGCACAGGTTCTATATATTCTATTAAGTTATATATATTTCTGCAAATCTTAAAAATATTTTTCAAAACTTTAAAAAAGGGCAAGCAAACATTACTTTAATTTAACGTTAATAAGAAAATTTAAAAAAACCATGATTTTTGAGAAAGCAATGTTTTAGCATGGTTTCTTTTAAAGTAGTTAAATATATTCATTTAAAACTAAACATTCAACTAAAATTTCCCATGCTTTTGTAAACACATGTAAAAAACGTGCTAAAACATAATTACTTTCTTCAGTTGCATACTTAATTATTCAACTTAAAAGTAACTCTATTGAAGATAGTATTAGCATGGTTTCTTTTAAAGTTGTTGAAAATGCGTTTTAAATTTTAGTAACTTATTGCTTTTTATAATAAATATGTTTTATATATATATATATATATATATATATATATATATATATATATATATATATATATATATATATATATATATATATATATATATATATACATATATATATATATATATATATATATATATATATATATATATATATATATATATATATATATATATATATATATATATATATATATTGAGTTCGATCCCCACCACGTCCCTGATAGTACCCCACTCAACTCGTTTCTTGGCGCAGCTGCCTTATTTGTCAAGGTTCATGTTTTGGAGTTAAAGGGTTGAGAGAGGGTTATACCCATAAATAAGTAGTCTCCTCATCTGTAGTGGCCTTCTCGACCTTGAGGAGATGAATTAACAAAAAATATATATCTATATAAATATATATGAACAATTTCTTAGCACTCACATTAGTGTTAATCCATTCAAGGAAAGATACGCGAAGTAGATCATTTTCTGGCCATATATTTACAATTTGTATAATTTCATAGTTGTTATTTTCCTCGTCAGCATGAACATGATATAACTTAATGCAACCATCATTAAATCCAACTGCAACTAAAACTATTTTAACAACAAATATAACTTATTATATTTCATTCAATAATTGAGAATTCAAAATATAAAAATGTTTATAAGTCTTATAAACTACAATAAAAATAGTAATTACAATTGTAATAATTATAAGAAAAAATTAATCCACTAGCATCATCATAAGCTAGAACAGATATTTGAATTTATTATAAAAATACTAATTCATATTTATGGAGTAGCTAATTCTTTATTTTTCCATCACAAAATGACATTAAAAATGCTGATGATATATAAAATTATTATCACTTGCCATATAATAAACATAGCAACATTATGTGGAAATATTATGTACCAAAATTTGAAACAAATGACCTTTACAAATAATTAAAGTTAGGAAAAAAAAATTTTTTTTTTAATTTTTAGTGAAACTGTTAATATAATACTTGAATTAAAATAATTTATAAACCTAACAATTCATCTTGCATTTTAAAGTTAATTTGAATACTTTAAATTAAATTTATTTATATTTACTTAAACAAATTTTGCATAATTACCTTTTTAATATCTTAAATTTTTAATACCTTAGCTTAAATTTTTAATATTAATCTCATATATAGTATGAGTAGTCATAAAGTTTATTTTTTATCCACAAAAAAACAAAAAAAAACTTTAACATTAGCAAATTATAGTCATTTACTTAACTAACTTTTTAAACTTAACATGTTTTTAAAATAAGCGTAACTTAACTAGTAACAACTATTAAGTAACTAATTACTAAAGCCTAATAATGGATCAGTGAGAAAAACTGAGATCAGTGAGAAAAGTTATTGTTTTAGCAAAAAGGCAAAAGTATAACTAATATTTAAAATTTTTATACTTTATAATAGCAGTTTATTACATTTATGGATTATGGTACTTCATAGTCGTGTTTGCATGTGTTTAACAATTGTCATAATGTTGTTCTTTGAATATACTAGATCTTGATCGTCTTTTTTTCTTAACTTTTCTATGTCTTGATCGTCTTTTTTTCTAACTTTTCTTAAGTTTTTTATGTCACCTGAATTCTCTGCATGTTTTCTTGCTTCTATCTATATATTTTACATTTAATATATTATTTAATAACAAATTTATCTATAAACTATTCTGAAAGCATACACTCTACATGCTGATACCCGATTATTTAGATTTTATTATGGTCTATTAGCCCAAACAACACTTTTTCTTCTCTGATTGACCCTATCAAAAACTTAATTCTACCATTCTCTTTTCTCTTTATAAAAAAAATAACTGTGGAGTCATGCAAAGAGTGCAAATCTGTACCAATGTTTCAAACAATAAAAATTTAAAACAACTGTTCAGAAGCAATGCTTAAATGCTGGAAATAAAAAAAAAAAATTTTCGCCAGTTTACTTGTTATTTCTTGTAGTTCACTGCATTTATAACATCTATTGCTCATTTATAACACCTATATTCAAAATTGATTTAATATAAACAACTAGAAAAAATATTTTGGTACCCACAATTAAAATACAATAAAATAAAGGAAGGAATTGATGATCTATAGATGTTTAATTTTTTTAAACTTTTTATTTTGTTTTTGAATGAAGATAAATTTAACTTAAATCCTTAACTAAATTTTTCAAATTCCGAGGCTTGGATATATATATATATATATATATATATATATATATATATATATATATATATATATATATATATATATATGTATGTATATATATATATATATATATATATATATATATATATATACATAGAGTACCGAACAAAATTATAGCACAACCTCTTAAAATAAGATAGTCATGTAAAATTTTTGCATGCATTAATCATTTTGTTGAGAGGTACTGTATTTTTGAAATGTGTTTACATTAGTCATTTAAAATGTGCACATATAATTAAAAATTTTGTTCATTATTCATCATAGAAATGAACAATTGTACAAACATATACAAAAAAATGTTGGTCAAATTTATAGCACACTCACATTCATTCGTAATTTTAACAGTGTGTGTGATTAAATGCATTGAGGCATTGATTTGTATAATATTTTATTTATCTACTAGCGTCATAGTTGATTATTTAAGGTGGTATACCCCCTTCAAAATTATCTTGGAAGTGAAATATTATAGTCAAAATAAAAATTAAGCCTATGAAAGATCTTATTAAACGAAATTGATTTATAAAATAACAGGTGGTTATGTTGTCATGACAACCACCTATAATGGCGGATATAAGAAAATATGCACATCGCACTGTCAAAAATATCTCAAAATCTAATAGAGTACTCAAAGTAAAACTTGGCCCAATTATAAAAAACAGTTTGATCTATGCAATCTGCCAAAAGTTTTTAAATCTGACTATTAGTTTCCATGTACCACTACATGGATTATGAAGATTTTTAAATAAGCAATTTTTTAGTGCTGAAACAGCAATATCTCAAACTCTGAAATGTTTTATAATTAACTTTTGGCAGATTGCATACATCATATAAAAACACATCACTGCTGAAAATTTGGTTAAAAACTAATTACTAGAAAATGAAATAACTGTGACAGGAGATTGAAAAATAGAAGTTAGCAAATAAAGACTTTAAAAATTAAAAAAGAGAAAAATATCCAAAAAAATATTATAAAAATAAAAAATGTTTGTAAATTTTAGAGCAAATTGTTTAAAAGCTACCAGCAGCATAAAGAGTGCCTTGTTTTTGCTTTTCCCTATCATTTTTGTTCTTTTTATTGCCCCTTATTGTTTTTCTCCGCAACTTTACATCAGATTTATCTTTGTATGACGATTGATACAAACGCATTTTATTTTCTCTATTGCAGTCATCTATTGTAAATGTTCCTGGAATCATATTGAGATTTTCATAAGTCATCAATGATGCTTTTCTTCCAATATTAAAGTTTGCAATAGCATCATATGTTGCAAATTTCAAATGTAACAATGAACAGAATTTAGTTTTTGGAACTCGTTCCCATATCATCATGTTAAGGCTCTCATTTCGGTTCTGAGTTTTTCCATGCATACATTTTGCAAGCAATTCATTAGAGCTAAGTTCTTTATAAATTGGCTTTAGTAACTCAATAATATCACGTGGCAAATCAGGGCCAGGTTTATAGAGAGATGGTTGATTGGGATGTTTTCGATCAACATTGTGCTGGCACCAACTTTTTTCATCGTTTGGACAATAGATGTGATAGTTATTTTCTTTTGAGGAAGCAACATGAAACAATGAAGCAAGTATTGCACTGCGCATTTCATTAACAGACTGATTTTTGGTTCTAACTGCAATTCCATAATAGTTTTGCAATCTGTCAATTGTAGCATCAGTAAGTCTTCCTTTACCACCTAGACGCCTTTCTTTTTTCAATTTTCTTAATCGTGTGCCAACTCTTTTTTGCACATGACCAACACATTCTAATTTTGATACTAGTGTATCACCATCATCATTTTACACCATATATCTTTCAACAGATGAAAATGCCTTACTATCTCCGTCACCACAAAATTCAGTATAGCAAAGTTTATACTTTTCAACAGATCGTTCAAAAATTGATTTTGCTCCAGCGACCTCTATACCGGTGGATGGTCCAGTATAGTTGAGGTTACAAAAATGAGTATTTTTTAGAATTTTATATGCATCAGGGTCTGTATTTTTTTTCTTTGTAATTAAAAAACATTGTTTGCAATATTTGGATAATACTTCACAATCCAAAACTTTTCCTGTAATCATAGATATTGCAGTATAAACACTGTTGAATGAGGAAAAACCTCCACGTTGACAAGTACCGTCACAAGAAACACTGGTATTTATTAAATTGGATTCATCAGTAGTATGTTGAGAGGCTTTTATACTTACAAGTGCAGCATCAGACATGGTTTCTACTGTGATTGCTTCAACTTGAATAGCAATTTGAACAATTTTAATGTAAGTATTTTTAGTCATTGGCGGTGGAAGATCCATAAGATAACAGAATCTTTTAAGGCCAGTATGGCCTTGCCCACATGAACGCATAGCATAAACTGACCTTTGGTTGATATCAAAAGCTCTACTACTTTCAGAACCACACTTCTTGGATGTAAAAAATTCATGATTGAATCCACATTTACAGAATGTAATCAATGAGCTGGAAAGTCCAAATTTATTTTTGCGTTTTCAGATAAATTAAGTCGACAAGTTTAACATTCTGGACAACATAGCAACTGAATAACAAAGGCTAATAAAGTGCTATCAATTACTCTGTATCCACATATGTTTTTTGTATTAGAACTTGCAGAAGTATTAATAGGGTTTACCTTGAAATAAGATATATTTATTGAGCTCTGTGAATCTGTAGAAGGTAGAAGACTTGTATTTGCTGAATTTGTTTTATTTAAAGTATATTGATTTCCATGAAATCTTTTTTTCTTTTTGTATTGAGTAACAAATTTCACACGTTCTCTACCCATTAAAAGTATACGTTTTAATTTATATAAACATAAACAGATGCATAGATTTATATAACTTTAAGATGACAATTTGTTTTAAAGAAACTTCTGGAAGAAATTTATGAGAAATCCAGTTATTGCTTTTAATCTTACAGATGTTTTGATCACTGGAAAATAGAAATAAATTATAAACTTATTTCAAGAAGCTTTAAAAATTATGTTTGTGGAGAATTTCTTGGCCAAATGAAAATTGTTAATGCCTTGCCATGGGGGTTGTCAAGGGCGCTTAAAAATGTAAGGTTCATTAAAGTTTGTTTTCCTCAAGTTATATACTGAATTTTAAAAAATGGTTTTTAAAATATGATTCTATAATAAATTTTAAATAAAATTAAACAACAAAATTTTTTTTTTTAAATTTGATATTTCTGAGGGGTATACCACCTTAAAATAGCAAATCTTATAATTTTTCAAAGTTTTTTCAGTAATTTTAAAATTAACACATAATTAATGCAATGGGTCGCAAAGGAGTGAGCTCTAAGCAGGGACAACTAGTAAAAAACTTACTTCAACACCAATTTAATATT